TCCACACATTCCGTGTCGACAAGCAATGACAACATTTCGCCCACTTTGAGCCCTATTTTCAGCCAATTCCATTGTTCCAGTCGACCCAACTCACAGCCATTTCTTTAGAACTCCATTTGGTCTATTGACTGAGTACAAGAAACTGCCCATTTACCAATTTCAACTACCCAATAAAGTGGTCAGAAACTGGCAATTTGGCCAATTTCAAGCATATTGAAAGACGCCAATTTCAAAATAGGGTCCAAAATGAACAATGCAGACATTCCTGGCACTAAAATAACATTTTCTCTGTTATCAGTCACATCTCCAGATCCCTCTTAAATTACTCGTGCTTTCTATTTTGAATTTTTATTCACACAAAAAATAGGACTTACTGTTATGCAGACTACTGCATTATTACAATATGTGTGTGGAAATTAGGAGGTGTGGAGATAATAAAAGTATTAGTCAGAGGGCTGAAGAAGGGTTGTTGAGGTGGTTTGGTCATTTGAGAGAATGGATCAAAGTAGAATGACATGGAGAGCATATAAATCTGTAGGGGAAGGAGTGCAGGGTAGGGGTCGTCCTCAAAAAGGTTGGAGGGAGGGGGTAAAGGAGGTTTTGTGGGCGAGGGGCTTGGACTTCCAGCAAGCGTGCATGAGTGTGTTAGATAGGAGTGAATGGAGATGAATGGTATTTGGGACCTGACAAGCTGTTGGAGTGTGAGCAGGGTAATACTTAGTGAAGGGATTCAGGGAAACCGGTTATTTTATATAGCCGGACTTGAGTCCTGGAAATGGGAAGTACAATGCCTGCACTTTAAAGGAGGAGTTTGGGATATCGGCAGTTTGGAGGGAAACGTTGTGTATCATTAAACGTATATGCTTCTAAACTGCTGTATTCTGAGCACCTGTGCAAAAACGGTGATTATGTGTGAGGTGAAAGTGTTGAATGATGATGAAAGTATTTTCTTTTTGGGGATTTACTTTCTTTTTTGGGTCACCCTGCCTGTGTCACTTCCCATTTTGTATTTAATTCCCCATAATTTAATCCCACCCCTCTCCCAAACACCCTAGCATTTACTTCTCTTACAACCCCATCTATAAATATATTAAACAACCATGGTGACATTACACATCCCTGTCTAAGACCTACTTTTACCGGGAAGTAGTCTCCCTCTCTTCTACACACCCTAACCTGAGCCTCACTATCCTCATAAAAACTCTTTACAGCATTTAGTAACTTACCAACTATTCCAAATACTTGCAACATCTGCCACATTGCTTCCCTATCCACTCTATCATATGCCTTTTCTAAATCCATAAATCCAATAAAAACTTCCCTACCTTTATCTAAATACTGCTCATATATATATGCTTCAATGTAAACACTTGATCTACACATCCCCTACCCACTCTAAAACCTCCTTGCTCATTCACAATTCTACATTCTGTCTTACCTCTAATTCTTTTAATAATAACCCTACTGTACACTTTTCCTGGTATACTCAGTAAACTTATTCCTCTATAATTTTTACAATCTCTTTTGTCCCCCTTCCCTTTACATAAAGGGACTATACACCCTCTCTGCCAATCCCTAGGTACCTTCCCCTCTTTCATACATTTATTAAACAAAAATACCAACCACTCCAACACTACGTCCCCCCCTGCTTTTAACATTTCTGTCATGATCCCGTCAGTTCCAGCTCCTTTACCCCCTTTCATTCTACGTAATGCCTCACGCACCTCCCCCACACTCACATCCTGCTCTTCTTCACTCCTAAAAGATGGTATACCTCCCTGGCCAGTGTGTGAAATTACTGCCTCCCTTTCTTCGTCAACATTTAAAAGTTCCTCAAAATATTCTCGCCATCTACCCAAAACCTCCATCTCCCCATCTACTAACTGCCCTACTCCATTTTTGACTGACAAATCCATTTGTACCCTAGGCTTTCTTAACTTGTTTAACTCACTCCAAAATTTTTTCTTATTTTCATTAAAATTTCTTGACAGTACCTCTCCCACTATCATCCGCTCTCCTTTTGCACTCTCTCACCACTCTCTTCACGTTTCTTTTACTCTCCATATACTCTACTCTTCTTATAACACTTCTGTTTTGTAAATACCTCTCATAAGCTACCTTTTTCTCTTTTATCACACCCTTTACTTCATCATTGCACCAATCACTCCTCTTTCCTCCTTCATGTGTGTGTGCATGTGTGTGTACATGTGTATGTACATTGTGGGTGTGGGTGTGGGCATGTGTGTGGGTGTGGTGTACATTGTGTGTGTGTGTAGGTGTGTGTGTGTAGGTGTGTGTGTGTAGGTGTGTGTGTGTAGGTGTGTGTGTAGGTGTGTGTGAAGGTGTGTGTGTAGGTGTGTGTGTAGGTGTGTGTGTAGGTGTGTGTGTGTAGGTGTGTGTGTGTAGGTGTTGTGTGTGTAGGTGTGTGTGTGTAGTGTGTTGTTGTGTGTAGGTGTGTGTGTGTAGGTGTGTGTGTGTGTAGGTGTGTGTGTAGAGTGTGTGTGTGTGTAGGTGTGTGTGTGTAGGTGTGTGTGTGTAGGTGGTGTGTGTGGTGTGTGTGTGTAGGTGTGTGTGTAGGTGTGTGTGTGTAGGTGTGTGTGTGTAGGTGTGTGTGTGTGTAGGTTTTGTGTGTGTGTAGGTGTGTGTGTGTGTAGGTGTGTGTGTGTAGGTGTGTGTGTAGGTGTGTGGTGTGTGTTGTAGGTGTGTGTGTGTGTAGGTGTGTGTGTGTAGGTGTGTGTGTGTGTAGTGTGTGGTGTGTTGTAGGTGTGGTGTGTGTGTGTAGGTGTGTGTGTGTAGGTGTTGTGTGTAGGTGTGTAGTGTGTGTGTGTGTAGGTGTGTGTGTGTGGTGTGTGTGTAGGTGTGTGTGTGTGTGTGTGTAGGTGTGTGTGTGTAGGTGTGTGTGTGTAGGTGTGTGTGTGTAGGTGTGTGTGTAGGTGTGTGTGTGTAGGTGTGTGTGTAGGTGTGTGTGTAGGTGTGTGTAGGTGTGTGTGTAGGTGTGTGTGTAGGTGTGTGTGTAGGTGTGTGTGTAGGTGTGTAGGTGTGTGTGTGTAGGTGTGTGTGTGTAGGTGTGTGTGTGTAGGTGTGTGTGTGTGTGTAGTGTGTGTGTGTGTGTAGGTGTGTGTGTGTGTAGGTGTGAGTGTGTGTGTGTAGGTGTTGTGTGTAGTGTGGTGTAGTGTGTGTAGTGTGTGTGTGTGTGTAGGTGTGTGTGTGTAGGTGTGTGTGTGTGTGTATGTGTGTGTGTGTGTGTAGGTGTGTGTGTGTAGGTGTGTGTGTGTAGTGTGTGTGTGTAGGTGTGTGTGTGTAGGTGTGTGTGTAGTGTGGTGTGTGTGTAGTGTGTGTGTAGCGGTGTGTGTAGTGTTTGTGTAGGTGTGTGTAGGTGTGTGTGTAGGTGTGTTGTTAGGTGTGTGCATACAGTGTTGTGAGTGTGCAAGGTGTGTGTTAGTGTGTGGAGTGTTGTGTAGTGTGTGTGTACAGTGTGTGGTGTACATGGTGTACAGTGTGTGGTGTACAGTGTGTGGTGTACATTGTGTGTGTACATGTGTGTGTACATGTGTGTACATGTGTGTGTACATGTGTGTGTACATGTGTGTGTACATGTGTGTGTACATGTGTGTACATGTGTGTACATGTGTGTGTACATGTGTGTGTACATGTGTGTGTGTACATGTGTGTGTACATGTAGACAGCCTGTATTGTCTGCACAGACAGCCTATGCTGTCTGCCAGCTTAGTTCATATTTTGCAGCACTCAGGTGCTGCCCTCTAGGCCTGCCCAGGTCAGTGGGACGCTGGTCCCACTCGCTCACTCTCTCAGCAGCCTTAGACGCAGTCAACAGGGGGACTCCTATCTCCTTGTGGCCATGGCCCTCCCAGGCCATGGGCACTTAACACACTGCCTGTGTACACCACGACTTTGCAAATAAAGTAAGAAGCCTCCGAAGAAGTTTATCATTGAACCCCGCTCTGCTGCAAGTCACCAAATAAACTGGTTATATACAATAAACTAGTTATATGTGTGTGTGTGTGTGTGTGCATGTGTGTGTGTGTGTGTGTGTGTGTGTGTGTGTGTGTGTGTGTGTGTGTGTGTGTGTGGTGTACATGTGTGTACTGTGTTACCATGTGTGTACGTGTGTACATGTGTGTACGTGTGTGTACGTGTGTGTGTACATGTGTGTACGTGTGTGTACGTGTGTGTACGTGTGTGTGTACGTGTGTGTGTACGTGTGTGTGTACAGGTGTGTACATGTGTGTATGTGTGTGTGTGTACATGTATACTCACCTAGTTGTATTCACCTAGGTGAGGTTGCAGGGGTCAAGTCCGAGCTCGTGGCCCCGCCTCTTCACTGGTCGCTACTAGGTCACTCTCCCTGAAGCATGAGCTTTATCATACCTCTGCTTAAAGCTATGTATAGATCCTGCCTCCACTACATCGCTTCCCAAACTATTCCACTTACTGACTATTCTGTGGCCGAAGAAATACTTCCTAACATCCCTGTAATTCATCTGTGTCTTTAACTTCCAAATGTGTCCCCTTGTTACTGTGTCCAATCTTCGGAACATCCTGTCTTTGCCCACCTTGTCAATTCCTCTCGGTATTTTGTATGTCGTTATCACGTCCCCCCTATCTCTCCTGTCCTCCAGTGTCGTCAGGTTGATTTCCCTTAACCTCTCCTCGTAGGACATACCTCTTAGCTCTGGGACTAGTCTTGTTGCAAACTTTTGCACTTTCTCTAGTTTTTTTACGTGCTTGGCTAGGTGTGGGCCCAAAACTGGGCCGCATACTCCAATAGGGGCCCCTAACGTACACTGTGTAAAGGGCCCTAACAATTCCTTAGAAAGGTGTCGGAATGCTTTTTCTGAGGTTTGCTAGGGCCCATATGCTGCAGCTTTTTTTTGTTTGATGTGCGCTTCAGGAGTTTCCCGGGTGTTAACTCCCCCAAAGATTTTTTTCCCTTGAGTGGGTTGTAGTCTCGGGCCCCCTTTTGATGCACTCCGTCTGCAGTCTTCTTTCCCCTTCCCCAATTTCTGACTTTGCATTGGGTGGGTTTGAACTCCAGGAGCCTTTTGCTGGACAAGTCTGCAGCCTGCCCAGATGCTTCGTAGTTCTCCCTGGCTTCGATGAGGAATTCTTTCATCAATTTTTCGTCATCTGCAAACGGGAACCTCAGAGTCTATTTCCCTTTCCCTCTGTAATTCACAAAAAACCAGAAACGCACTGGTCCTAGGATCCCCTGTGGGACCCCGCGGTTTAAAAGGTGCCCCCCTGACCCTTGCCCCGTACCCTGACTCGCTGCTGCTTCCCGACTGTATTTTCCCCGATCCACTGTAGGCTTCCCCTTTTTCCTTCTTGGTTTTTGTGTGTATAATTGTGTGTGTGGTGACATTGGTGGTGGTGTACATTGTGTGTACATGTGTGTGTTGTGTGTGGGTGTGTGTGGGGTGTTGTGTTTGTTACAGTGTTTTTACATGTGTGTGTACTTTTGTGTGTACAAATGTGGTGTCATGTGGTGTCATGTTGTACATGTGTGTGTTGTGGTTTTGGGGTTACATTGGTACATGTGGGGGTACATGTGTGTCATGTGTGTAAAATGTTGTGGTACTGTGGGTTTTTGTAATGTGTGTGTTTAATGTGTGTACATTTGTGTGTACATGTGTGTTGGGGCTTATGTGTGTGTGTACATGTGTGTGTACATTGTGTGTGTGTACATTGTGTGTGTACACTGTGTGTACATTGTGTGTGTGTACATTGTGTGTGTGTGTACATTGTGTGCATGTACACATTGTGTGTGTGTACATTGTGTGTGTGTACATTGTGTGTGTGTGTACACTCACCTAATTGTGGTTGCAGGGGTCGATACTCAGCTCCTGGCCCCGCCTCTTCACCGACCGCTACTAGGTCCTCTCTCCCCCTGCTCCATGAGCTTTATCATACCTCGTCTTAAAACTATGTATAGTTCCTGCCTCCATTACATCGCTTGCCAGACTATTCCACTTCCTAACTACTCTATGACTGAAGAAATACTTCCTAACATCCCTTTGATTCATCTGAGTCTTCAGCTTCCAATTGTGACCCCTTGTTTCTGTGTCCCATCTCTGGAACATCCTGTCTCTGTCCACCTTGTCTATTCCACGCAGTATTTTGTATGTTGTTATCATGTCTCCTCTGACCCTCCTGTCCTCCAGTGATGTCAGACCGATTTCCCTTATACGAGGTATACGAGTGAGTCAAGGTATACGAGTGAGTCAAGGTATATGAGCGAGTCAAGGTATGAGAGAGTCAAGGTATACGAGTGAGTCAAGGTATGAGAGAGCCAAGGTATGAGTGAGTCAAGGTATATGAGTGAGTCAAGATATGCGAGTGAGTCAAGATATGAGTCAAGGTATGCGAGTGAGGCAAGGTATGCAAGTGAAACAAGGTATGTGAGTGAGTCAAGGTATGCGGGTGAATCAAGGTATGCAAGTGCTAGTGTTAGAGTTGATGTATCGCTCTACAATACCAGAATGTGTGTGTGGTAGGATGTATCAGCTACTATTACATCATCTTCCACCACATCTGCCAGCATTCATAACATAAATCAAATTACCTTACTAAATTGTACTAATAAATGAGCTCTATGCCTACACCAAACTTGTACCACCCAAGTCAGTAACTGGCTTTTCCCAGGCCGTAGAAATCCCTGAACATCTTTTTCATCGCTGAGAAAGTTCTTATACAACTACTTTTCCACAAAGCTTGGTCTTGGGAACAAAATGTTAATCACAATATATTGAAAAATGCAACTTGTGGTTGCACAAATGGTGGACTCTTTTGTATCTTGAACTTTGCAGATGCAAAAATCCTACATAAAAAAAAAAAAATCTGTACCAGAAGACTGAAAAAAATTGAGCAAATGAAATGAAAGATGGATTTTATCGAACAGTAAATGATGGAAATGAGGAAAAAAAACAGTTACAGGCCACATGAATACAGCATAAAACATTAAAAATGTCACACTGCAATCTAAGAGACATGGACAAAAGTTTTTATATCATGTAAATGAACTCTAAGAAAAACTTTTGGTTCATTGGCAACCTTTAAAATTGCCTGAAAAGAAAGTATTGCAAATGGTTGGGCGAGTTTTAAAATATCTGTTCACAATACATCTTGAGCCAAAATCATGGACAGTATGGACAAAACCAAAGACTTGCTGTAAAATGGCTTAAATTAAAAAAAAAAAAAAAAAAAAAATGCTAGAAATACCCACATTGTATGAAGTGATGAAAAATAAACAAAGATCAAAATACAAGGTAACAGATTTGTTGGCACCATAAACAAGGACTAGAAGCCAAATGCAAAATGATGAAGCTGTGCTAAAAGAATACAGTACTAGGTAATTTTTCTTCAGTGGTAGAACACTAAATGAGTTACAAGAGGATGTATAAATACAACTGCTAGAATTAAATGTTGAGATAAAATAAGGAAGACAGCAAGTACAGCTCTGCTCTTGCAACTACAACTATGTAATCACCATTAAATGGGCACACTAATCTTTGAATGTCGTATTTTACACTTCATCTCGTGTAAGAATGTTCTACTGTCACTGTGTAACTTGTTCAACTTCTTTGGTTTTAAGTCAACATTTTAAGAAGTGTTTGTGGCTTGGTTGGGATTGCTGTTTCAATTCCTGTCTACATGTTAAACATACTACCCATGTAGTCTGTCCTTGTTTATGCCCTAAAGTATGGTCATATCCCATCAAGGCCCCCCTCCAATATAACAGACAATTAGTGAAGTGCTTTCTTGTAGCTCTAGCACCAATTTGGATGCATATCTCTGCAAACACTAGTTTCAATTTTAAATTGGACTTATCATATTCATGCAATTTGTCTTAAGAAGTGTATGGATTTCTGAAGGCTCCTTTCTGCAAATACAGCTTAGGTCAGTAGGCACACACTTTAATGGACAGAATTTAACATAAATGTTACTAAGTCCTTCTGTTTCCAGTTGCCCAATTTCATTAATTTGATTGTAACTAGCAGTAACTTAAGACTATACCCACCTTAATTTCGACAACACCTACAAACTTATGTAGGCATTTAGTCAATTTAGGATGCCTTCAATAAGCACCAAGCAAAGTACAGAGCCTAGTAACGAGTATTTAGAAACTCTACTTGTTGGTGTATACTAATTTATCCTGACACTTCAAAGTGGTTCAAGTCTTTCAGGAAATCCTCAATCCATGCTACAACCCCTACATGTCTTTTCCTCTTGTGCATTTGTCTTGCACAGGGAGTAGCCACGACTTGAAGCATAAGAATATCCAGTTTGCACATTCTTGCTCTTTTCTGTCACTGACCTTTATTGAGTCTATAAAACAACCTTGCTGTAATTTCTGAAGCTGAATTGGTGCTTTAAGAACACCCCTAATGTTCTCTGAGTTTACCCAGTTTTTCCCCTTCAATATTTGCCTTTTATGTCACTGTGTAGGTGAGTTAGTGTACACATTGATGCGCTATATTTCTGCATGACCTTGCCCCTTTACTGTTGGATGGCCCCCCCCCCCCCCCAAGACACACAAATATTCCTTTTACTAGTGTAAAGGAATTCAGGATCTGGTTTGAACATACAAAAAACTGTTACCCATATATGGCACTAGAAAAGAAATACTATACCAGGATTTAGTTAAGATCTATATGCAGATGATTTAAAATAAAAGCAAATGCAATTTTGTTACAAGCGAATCATTGAATGGTTTAGATTACATACAAAATAACCACTGAGGAATGAATATTTACAAATAAGCTTATTTAACACACATGTTTATGTACAATATATAGTAAAATATAGTATATATTTTTAGTGATTATAAATGGCCTCTGGTAACTACCTCTCTTGCTTTTGAACGTGCTTTTGTCCAAATTAGATGCTTTCAATTAAGCTTAAAAAAGGCTTGGGAGCTTGACTGAATTTAATGTGCAGTGAGAGACATACACTTTGGGCTGAGGATATCATCAATTTTTTAAATTTTTTCATTAAAGATGTAACAATTCTAGATAAAAGTGGTGGTCTCTTAAAAAAAAGATGGGTGCAGCATGGCTGGTTATACCCTGTTGAGTATGTACATGCTTGACAAGGTGTTTGTATTACATATTGTGCTTTCCAATAGTTTGTAAAGATATTAAGTACTGCCCTTAACAAGCTGAGGATGTGTTGTTGCATGTAAAGTAAAAGCTTACAAGGCTCATCATCTGTTTGAAATTAAGTCATAAGGGTGAGTAATAAAGATGAGCCTTGCTGCCAATTACATCTTAACTTCTCACAAATCCTGAGTAAATATTCCAGATAGTGATGTTAAGAGTGCATGTGTATCCCTCTGGGTACATTTCGCTACCACTCAGGTACCTAGCCACTCGACGTAGGAGTTGAGAAGACAAACGACTCCATTCATGTCCCAAATATATGGATAGATGTCATACAACAGAGATCGATTCTTGACTTTGTTTAGTCTATTTGCCATTCTCTTCACATTTTTAGCCATTTCATCAAACTTGGCTGCTCTGTCAAACCATTCCTGAACCTGAAAAAATGTAAGTGTAAACTCTTAATTAACTTGGACTAACCAAGAGTATACAGTATTAGCAAATTCTGCATACAATATATAAATTTTTAACTGCACCTTAAATTCCAAAATATGGTTAACATTATTGTACAAATTGCTATAGAAAATTATATAAATGAAGAAGAATGTAAGGGTGGGTTGATTATCAAACTAAATGAGCACATTATTATAAATAAAGGAGCAAAAAGTCTAACAAAAAATTTCCACTACACAATTTATCATGGAAACTCAAGTAGCAAATCAAGTTCATTCACTATTAGTAAGCTTGACCAGCTCCATAAATTATTCTACAAGGAATTCCACATTATCCATATACAATTTCAAATTTATTTCTATTTTCTATTCATTCTCATTTATTCATTCATATACATTCTCATTGTCTCCCTTCCTCCCTCTCAATCTCCCTCCTCATTCCCCCCTCCCACCTTCATCCTTCCCTCTCCCCCTTTTCCCTCCCCATCCTCCCTCACTCTGTTCCTCACCATCCTCTCTCCCTCCCTCTCTTCCTCACCATCTCCCCTTCTATCCTCCCTCCCTTCCTATCCTCCCTCCCTCTCTTCCTATCCTCCCTCCCTCCCTCTTCCTCACCATCCTCCCTCCCTCCCTCTTCCTAACCATCCTCCCTCCCTCTCTCTTCCTCACCATCCTCCCTCCCTCCCTCCTCTTCCTCACCATCCTCCCTCCCTCCCTCTCTCTTCCTCACCATCCTCCCTCCCTCCCTCTCTCTTCCTTGCCATCCTCCCTCTCTCTCTCTTCCTCACCATCCTCCCTCCCTCTCTCTTCCTCCCCATCCTCCCTCCTTCCTCCCCCTCTTGTTCCCCATCCTCTCTCCCCCCTCCCCATCCTCTCTCTTCCCTCCCTCTCTCTCATCCCCCCCATTCAAAATTCAATGGCATGCACACACTTTATGTTAAAAATATTTCACATCAAAAATAGCTGAAATTATCTGTAAACATGCCACACTTTCTTACCTCTATATATTCAGAATGCTTGTTTGTGTCACATGATTCTCCAGTGCCTCAATCTACTTCTAAATGACTTGCACTAATAATGCCCTGTAACTTTTTCCATCCAGCCTTAGTTCATTTATCAAACCTAAACCTCCACATTGAAGAAATTCCCCTATAATTTTCAAATTCAGTTCACTTTTTGTTGTATTTTACCTAATTTAGTATTGAAATTATCAAACTCTTAGAAATCTTACACTTGTTATACAAGTTTAAGCAGAACACAACTTGTAGCATTTCCCCTTTCTTTATTTTGTCACATTTTTTAATTCATCCTTACCAGGCCAGCTCCCTACCAATCCAAGTTTCTAATAAAACACACTAGTTTTTGTCATTCATAATTAGAATATCAAAATTTCCGTTTTTCTTACCCAATTATTTATTATTATTACAAATTGAATTTATCTCTGAACCCTACTGAAACTGCATGTGCACGCGCATACACTTTTTTCACCCACTAACTCTCCAGCCTAACACCTACAACTTTTTCAATGATTACAATGAAAATCTAGGTTCATTAAGTGCAAGCTACTTTAGGCAATACAAACCTGAATATGCATATTAACTAGTGCAAAATTACAAGAATGACGTTTGAGCCAAGTATGTCATTAGACGAACACTCAAACTAGCACAAAAATGTAGGAACACCAGATGGTCAGAATTTAAAAAAAAAAAAAAAAAAAAAAAAAAAAAAAAAAAAAAAAAAAAAAAAAAAAAAAAAAAAAAAAGATTTAGTATGAATACAATTTGACACTAGGATGAATGCACTAAATATCTGGAGGTAATATGTAAAGACACTGCAAAGAACAAGATATATTACATTTTCAGCCACTAAGTAGTTTCAAAATCATCACAAAGGCTAATATAATATTAGAAAGTTAGACAGAGCAGCACTGCCATAAAATAAATGTAACAGTAAGTTTTCAATTTGCACATGCTATGAAGTTTCAGCCTATCAGCAAAGGTGCCATAAATAAAAAACATGGCAAGTATATCTTAAATATTACAGTTTAAAAGGTATGCATATCAACCTTCTTTGGATACACCATATAGTATCAAAACACCTATAAATCAAATAAGTTGAATACTAACCTCAGGTTTAATCTCTCCATCCTTTTTGTAGTCAATTACAAGATGTGAATTGATTTTTAACCAGTTGAACTCCTTCATGATAGTGATACCTTGTCTACCATGTTCAAATGGAAGATAAAAAAGATCTGCTAATAGATGCAAATCATCAACTGTAAGCCCATCTGAATTATCTTGTGTAGAATCTAGTGGAAGAGTAAGTGATGTTTTGGCTGTGACCGACAGTTCATCCTGAGCTGTTTCAATCACGGGAGTTGTTTTGTCTTCTTCACTTTCAACCTTCGGAACTTCTCCATTTTCTATCATCATACTATCTTCATTATGAGGTGGGGATGTGGCAGGGGATGGATTACAGTCCATTGGTTCAACACCTGAGGTGGATGAGGCATCTTGGGAGACAGTGGAAGCTGTATCTGCCTCTTCATGTCCTGTATCCACAAGAACTTTATTTTCAGAGACTAGTGAATTCATGATGGGATTCATGGTTGGGTTAAAAGTTGTGTCTTGAACAGCTTCTGCTAAGATATTAATATTTGGTTGGGGGAGACCAGGTGTGGCTAAAGTTGTGGATGTTAACGACATACAGGTATTTACGGAAGGCAATATAGGTACAGGTGTTGGAATTTGTGGTTGTTGTATAGTTCCATATGCAGAAACATTATGGTTAAACTCTTCAAGCCAATCTTGGAGTGCCATTCGCAAAGCCCTTCGTGGATGATAGGCATTTGGGGACAAACCAGTTGGGCAATCGTCACTCGAATCATCCCCCTCTGTCTCAAGTCTAATATCTGCACTCACAGCATCATCTGCAGAACAAATGGTTATTAATATTACTTCCATATCTTTCAAAATTCACACTCGCTATCAGTATCAAAATTACAAAAACCAACGTGCACTATACATAATCCATACAGAATATACAATGTCTATAATAATATGAACATACTCATACCACATGAAAGGCTAAGCATTTATAACATTTTAATTTAACTGACATTTTAGTTTTAATGCAAATGGCTAAAGATTTAAATATCACACAAAAGTGACAAGCTTAGACCCAAAAAATTATTAACCTGTACTGGTTATGCTGCATTACATTAGTGTTAAAAATACATATACATGGAAGACAGGTCAATAGATTCACCACCCTATAGAAATTACACATGTAAACATATGCCACAGTTCTAAATATTTAATTATTTTATTTGTAAAAAAAAAAATTAATATTAATAAATAAAGCTTGTTACACATGCCAAAGTTCAAAATATTTAACCTTTTCACAGACTGTGCCATGGTACTACGGCTTTGAGGACACTGCAGTGCCGTAGTACTATACACTACGTGTTCAGCTCACCCTGATAAGCTCCGAGTGGTAAATTTAGTCCTAGATTTGAGAGAATGGGTCTATGTGATAAGTGTGCACCATATAAAAAATCCTGCAGCAGGCAGTGCATGAGAAAAAACTGCGACCATGGTTTGGTTTAAAACTGCTGTGCGTTTCCACATGGTTTTTATGGTTGTATTCTCGGTTTCTTGATCTCATTTCATAGACTGGAAGATATATTATAGAAAGAGATGATTTTGATTGGTTTTAGGACTGAAAATAGCTTGAAATTGAGCTCAAATTAGCGGAAATGTTCGATTTTTGCCAACATTCAAATCACATCACGCGTCCAATACACGTCAATTGGCGAGTCTAATGTGCATTCAGAAATGCACTGATATTTATACCTTGGTGGCCGAGTTGGGAGGCAGCTTGGTGTTGTCTAGCTGGCTACTGTTTTTATATGTAGTAGGTTTGTAGACAGCAACCACCCAGGGAGGTACTACCGTCCTGCCAAGTGAATGTAAAGCGAAAGCCTGTAATTGTTTTACATGATGGTAGGATTGCTGGTGTCTTTTGTCTGTTTCATAAATATGCAAGATTACAGGTATGTCTTGCTACTTCTACTTACACTTAGGTCACACTACACATACATGTACACGTTTATTTATACACACTCATCTGAGTTTTCTTTGATTTTATCTTAATAGTTCTTGGTCTTATTACTTTTTTTTTCCTTTTATATCCATGGGGAAGTGGAATAAGAATCTTTCCTCAGTAAGCCATGCGTGTTGTAAAAGTCAACTAAAATGCCGGGAACAATGGGCTGGTAACCCCTTTTCCTGTAAAGATTACTAAAAAAGAATAAGAAGAAAATTGTCAAAGTGGAAAGTCTGAATGTGCGTGGATGTTGTGCAAATGATAAGAAAGAGATGATTGTGGATGTTATGAATGAGAAGAAGGTGGATGTCCTGGCTTTAAGTGAAACAAAGCTGAAGGGCGTGGGAGAGTTTCAATGAAGAGGAATAAATGGGATTAGGTCAGGGGTTTCAAATAGAGTTAAAGAGCTAAAGAAGGAGTAGCAATAATGTTGAAGGATAAGCTATGGCAGGAAAAGAGGGACTATAAATGTATTAATTCAAGGATTATGTGGAGTAAAATAAAGATTGGATGTGAAAAGTGGGTTATAGTAAGCGTGTATGCACCTGGAGAAGAGAGAAGTGTAGAGGAGAGAGAGAGATTTTGGGAAATGTTGAGTGAATGCGTGGGGAGTTTTGAATCAAGTGTGAGAGTAATGGTGGTTGGGGATTTCAATGCTAAAGTGGGTAAAAATGTTATGGAGGGAGTAGTAGGTAAATTTGGGGTGCCAGGGGTAAATGTAAATGGGGAGCCTTTAAATGAGCTGTGTGTAGAAAGAGATTTGGTAATAAGTAATACATATTTTATGAAAAAGAGGATAAATAAATATACAAGGTATGATGTAGCACGTAATGAAAGTAGTTTGTTAGATTATGTATTGGCGGATAAAAGGTTGATGGGTAGGCTCCAGGATGTACATGTTTATAGAGGGGCAACTGATATATCAGATTATTATTTAGTTGTAGCTACAGTTAGAGTAAGTGGTAGATGGGAAAAGAGGAAGGTGGCAACAACAAGTAAGAGGGAGGTGAAAGTGTACAAACTAAGGGAGGAGGAAGTTCGGGTGAGATATAAGCGACTATTGGCAGAAAAGTGGGCTAGTGCGAAGATGAGTAGTGGGGGGGTTGAAGAGGGTTGGAATAGTTTTAAAAATGCAGTATTAGAATGAGGGGCAGAAGTTTGTGGTTATAAGAGGGTGGGGGCAGGAGGAAAGAGGAGTAATTGGTGGAATGATGAAGTAAAGGGTGTGATAAAAGAGAAAAAGGTAGCTTATGAGAGGTTTTTACAAAGCAGAAGTATTATAAGAAGAGCAGAGTATATGGAGAGTAAAAGAAAGGTGAAGAGAGTGGTGAGAGAGTGCAAAAGGAGAGCAGATGATGGAGTGGGAGAGGCAATGTCAAGAAATTTTAATGAAAATAAGAAAAATTTTTGGAGTGAGTTAAACAAGTTAAGAAAGCCTAGGGAAAGTATGGATTTGTCAGTTAAAAACAGAGTAGGGGAGTTAGTAGATGGGGAGAGGGAGGTATTAGGTAGATGGCGAGAATATTTTGAGGAACTTTTAAATGTTGAGGAAGAAAGGGAGGCGGTAATTTCATGCACTGGCCAGGGAGGTATACCATCTTTTAGGAGTGAAGAAGAGCAGAATGTAAGTGTGGAGGAGGTACGTGAGGCATTACGTAGAATGATAGATGGTAAAGCAGCTGGAACTGATAGGATCATGACAGAAATGTTAAAAGCAGGGGGGGATATAGTGTTGGAGTGGTTGGTACGTTTGTTTAATAAAGGTATGAAAGAGGGGAAGGTACCTAGGGATTGGTGGAGAGCATGTATAGTCCCTTTATATAAAGGGAAAGGGGACAAAAGAGATTGTAAAAATTATAGAGGAAGAAGTTTACTGAGTATACCAGGAAAAGTGTACAGTAGGGTTATAATTGAAATTAGAGGTAAGACAGAATGTAGGATTGCAGATGAGCAAGGAGGTTTCAGAGTGGGTAGGGGATGTGTAGATCAAATGTTTACATTGAAGCATATATGTGAACAGTATTTAGATAAAGGTAGGGAAGTTTTTATTGCATTTATGGATTTAGAAAAGGCATATGATAGAGTGGATAGAGGGGCAATGTGGCAGATGTTGCAAGTATATGGAATAGGTGGCAAGTCACTAAATACTGTAAAGAGTTTTTATGAGGATAGTGAGGCTCAGGTTAGGGTGTGTAGAAGAGAGGGAGACTACTTCCCGGTAAAAGTAGGTCTTAGACAGGGATGTGTAATGTCACCATGGTTGTTTAATATATTTATAGATGGGTTGTAAAAGAAGTAAATGCTAGGGTGTTCGGAAGAGGGGTGGGATTAAATTATGGGGAATCAAATTCAAAATGGGAATTGACACAGTTACTTTTTGCTGATGATACTGTGCTTATGGGAGATTCTGAAGAAAAATTGCGAAGGCTAGTGGATGAGTTTGGGAATGTGTGTAAAGGTAGAAAGTTGAAAGTGAACATAGAAAAGAGTAAGGTGATGAGGGTATCAAATGATTTAGATAAAAGAAAAATTGGATATCAAATTGGGGAGAAGTATGGAAGAAGTGAATGTTTTCATATACTTGGGAGTTGACGTGTAAGAGGATGGATTTATGAAGGATGAGGTTATTAATCACAGAATTGATGAGGGAAAAAAGGTGAGTGGTGCGTTGAGGTATATGTGGAGTCAAAAAATGTTATCTATGGAGGCAAAGAAGGGAATGTATAAAAGTACAGTAGTACCAACACTCTTATATGGATGTGAAGCTTGGGTGGTAAATGCAGCAGCGAGGAGACGGTTGAAGGCAGTGGAGATGTCCTGTCTAAGGGCAATGTGTGGTGTAAATATTATGCAGAAAATTCGGAGTGTGGAAATTAGGAAAAGGTGTGGAGTTAATAAAAGTATTAGTCAGAGGGCAGAAGAGGTGTTGTTGAGGTGGTTTGGTCATTTAGAGAGAATGGATCAAAGTAGAATGACATGGAAAGCATATAAATCTATAGGGGAATTGTTGAGGTGGTTTGGTCATTTAGAGAGAATGGATCAAAGTAGAATGACATGGAAAGCATATAAATCTATAGGGGAAGGAAGGAGGGGTAGGGGTTGTCCTCGAAAGGGTTGGAGAGAGGGGGTAAAGGAGGTTTTGTGGGCGAGGGGCTTGGACTTCCAGCAAGCGTGCGTGAGCGTGTTAGATAGGAGTGAATGGAGACGAATGGTACTTGGGACCTGACGATCTGTTGGAGTGTGAGCAGGGTAATATTTAGTGAAGGGATTCAGGGAAACCGGTTATTTTCATATAGTCGGACTTGAGTCCTGGAAATGGGAAGCACAATGCCTGCACTTTAAAGGAGGGGGTTGGGATATTGGCAGTTTGGGGATTTTCTTTGTTTTTTGGGTCACCCTGCCTCGGTGGGTGACGGCCGACTTGTTGAAAAAAAAAAAATTATTATGATATTGCATAAATCTTTGTGTGAACAAAAAATCAAAATGGAATTCATGTATAAAGCCTAGGAATGTAACTAATGAATGGAGTAATTGTTATTTTAGTGCCAGGAATGCCTGCATTGTTCATTCTGGATCCTGTTTAGAAATTGGAATACAGTGGACCCCCGCATACCGTTGGCATCACATAACGATTAATCCGCATACCGCTTGCTCTAATCGCAAAAATTTTGCCTCGCATACCGCTTAAAAACCTGCTCACCGCTGTTCGTCCGAGACGCGTCCAATGTGCGCCCTCAGCCAGCCTCACATGTGCCGCCCGTGCCATTGTTTACCAGCCAGCCTCCGCGGTAACATCCAAGCATACAATCGGAATATTTCGTA